TCCAATTCCTCATTCAATCTGGAATGCCACATTCGGCCTGACTGTTTAAGTCCATATAAAGATTTTTTGTGCTGAAGCACTTTATTATCGTCTTTCTCGAATAATTTCGGTTGCTCCATAAAAATTGTTTCTTCGAGATTACCATTCAAATATGCTGATGAAACGTCAAGGTGATGGACATGAAGTTCATATTCTACTGCTATAGCTAAAATCATTCTTATGGTTTCGTATCTCACTACCGGTGAAAATATTTCAGTATAATTAACACCGTACTTTTGACTACAGCCCTTAGCGACCAATCGTGCTTTGTACCACTCGATGTTTCCAGTTGCATCGAATTTCACTGCAAAAACCCATTTACAGCCGATAGCTTTTTGTCCTGTTGGTAGCTTCACCGCGTCCCATGTATGATTTTTTACCAATATATCATACTCCTCCTGCATAGCGCGTCTCCAGTAAGCGGACTGTTCGCTCTGTAGAGCTTCGAAGACTGTTTCTGGGACTACTATATCAGTTGACGTCTTGACTGGAGCTACTAAGTTTACAATATCACATTGTGGCCTTGGTCTTAAATTATAACCAGCTCTTGTACCAGTATAGTTTTCGGATTCTGGAACATCAGGTATATCATCTTCCTGTGGTGTATTCATTTGACTACTTTCTTTGTTGGCAGTTCCGTTCTCCTCACTGTTTTTGAGATTTTCAGTTGGAATTTCAAATTCATTATCTGGAATATAGCGGTTAAGATTACTTGCACTTAATAAAGGTAGGAGATCAATATTGCTATTATCGTTTAAATTTTCAACGAAATACACATCGCGACTTACAACAAGCCTTTTATTTATTTTGTCATATAGCCGATATGCTTTCGATTTTTCTGCATAGCCAACCATAATCATTTCTTTGCCCTTTGGTCGAAATTTCTTTTTCTCAGTTTTATCAAGAGCTATCGCCAAGCAACCAAATACTCGCAAATGACTTACCACAGGTTTCTTTTCCCACCAAATTTCATATGGAGTCAAGTTCTTTATTGTTCTTGTTGGTGATCGGTTTCTTATATATGCTGCAGTGTTAATTGCTTCACCCCAGAAGTTCTCGTCGACACCTGCGTTTAAGATCATACTCCGTGCCATCTCTACTAAAGTTCTGTTGACTCTTTCAGCAACGCCATTCTGTTGTGGAGTATGAGGCACAGTCAATTGTCTAAGAATACCCTTTTCATTTAAATAATTATTAAATTCAGTATTTACGTATTCAGTGCCATTATCACTACGTAACATTTTAATTTTTTTACCTGTTTGGCATTCAACCATGCTTTTAAATGATTTGAAAACATTTAAAACTTCTGATTTTTGCCTTATAAAATAAACAAAAATATACCGCGAGTTGTCGTCTACAAAAGTAACAAAGTATCTGGATCCTCCGATTGAATTAACATTTATTGGTCCACAAACATCACTATGGACTAAGTCTAAGATATTTTTCGTTTTACTTTGAGACGATTGAAACGGTTTAGTGTTGCACTTGCATTTAAGACACACTGTGCAGTTTATATGTTTTTGATCTGAATCAAATTTTAAACCCAGCACTAGTTGTTTATTTTTTAATTCGATTAAACTATTAATATTTAAATGTCCGTACCGTCTATGCCACAGAACTAAATTATCATTTGCATTATTATTAAAAAACAATTGCGTTTTCAAATCGATTGTTTCGTTTAATATTTCACAAAAAAATAATTGTTTTATTTGCTTTGCTTTTAACACAGTTTCACCGTTTTGATCATAAATATACGCGTTATTTTTTTCGAATGTCACTTTGTAACCATTGTTTGCTGCCTTGCTTACAGAAACAAAATTACATTGCAATACCGGAATATACAACACATTTTTTAATATAAGTTCACCCATGTGACTTTTTATTCTCACGTTACCACGTCCTATAGCTTTGAGAAATTTATTACCTGCAAGCATTATTTTTTCATTGCACTGCTCAAAATCTTCAAACATTTCACGATGCGCGCACAAATGAGAAGTTGCGCCACTATCCAAGCACCAAGCTTTTTTATCTAGTACCGTGTTTTGACTTACTCCAAAAACAGAAAAAAATGATTTCGAATACTCTCCAGAAACTTTTTCAGTTCTCTTAACAGAAGTTTCTCTTGATCTGCATTCTGCAGCGAAATGGCCTTTCTTCCCACATTTGTAACATTTAAAGTTACTCTTTTTTCTAAAATTTTTATCTCCTTTACCTCCGCTATATCTTTTGGTGTGCTCGTTGTTGGAATATTTATGGCTTGTTGTAGCAACTAATGCTTGTACAATACCATCTGCTTCGACTGTTTCATTATGTTTTCTCCGCTCACTTTCTTCAAATAATTTTGTTTTCAAAGCACTAAGCTTTGGGAGCTGATCTCTTGTTTCTAACGCAACAACAAAGTTTTCATAACTTTTTGGCAAACTTGCTAAAATTATTATTACAAACAATTCTTCTTGCAATTCAAGGCCAATTTCTGAAAGTTGTTCAATGACCTTTTCGAAGCTCGCAATATACTGCTGCATGGAATCACCCTCACTCATGCGCATATATATCATTTTCTTAAACAAAGATACCTTTCTTATCGGTCCAGTGGGCTGATGAATTTCTTTTAATGCAGTCCAAGCGGATTTTGCGGTATTACATTTTTTTATATGTCCAATTTCTGAAGTTTTTATTGACAACGTTATTACCGCCAACGCCTTTTCATCGTTCAGTCTCCACTTTTCACATATATCCACATCTTTTCCATCCTTGGTTATTTCAGGCATTTTTTCACTTATGACACACCAGAGCCCTTGGTGTATGAGGACACTCCTCATCTGGATACTCCATGAGTCGTAATTATTTTCATCCAGTTTATCAATATTATATATAGAATTCATATTACTTGAGTTAAGCCTGGGCCCATAACCTGTTGGAATTTAACAATATAGAACACACCTGTTTAAATAAAACGCGTTTTTTCCGTTCAAGTGTATAATTACAACTGTCGTTATTTTTATTATATTATATAAGATTAAATAAAAGCTTATTAAAGCTTTACAATAATATCTACATATGTATAATGTTATTAACATTGTGGTAGGATTTAACTTCAACAACTATATATTTATTTGTGAGTATGTTTAAATGAATTAATTTTGTTATTAAATAAAAGATTAGGTCTCAATAATTAGGGTGTATGTTACAAACATACCCGGTGAAGGGATAGCAATCGGAGTTTAACAATATTGTGCTATTATGAAGTGACGAGGCAGTGAAATCACGAGCATAACTGGTTTTTTGACACCCACAGAAAACATATATTAATATATACAGATCATTCTACATGGTCTAAGGGACTATTTTTTTCAATTTTGCGAATAGCGCTTAGGTTAAGAAAGTTTTAATTGCCCGTCTGAATTTATGAAATCTGTTGATAACTAATTGACAAGCACGAGTTCTAAGCCTGGCACTGGCAGTCCAAACAAATTATATACGGACATAAAAGAATTAAAAAAAGAAATTCGAAGATGTCGTAAGACCATTGATGATGAGTACTTGGCAATACTCGAATCAGCCTTCTATGGTTAGCCAAATTTCAATAGATTAAATACAATTTTTGTCCTTATTTTTTCTTTGCTATTCCAATCCATCTAACCAAAGACAATTATTTGATCATCAGTGGATTTGGGTTTAAAATGCCGCCACTTCAAATTAACCTAATCTATTGTAGACTAGGTGATCTTAAAATTCAAATGCTGTTATAGAAACAATTGACGTTGAACTGAACGAACAACATTGCTACATACAAATCAATCCAAATTTGTAGTTCCTAATCCAGGTATAATAACAGTTAATAATGTAATGAAAATTTTCGCGGAAGATCATAAAATTGATTTCATGATCAATCATCATTATTTTAGGTTTCATCACCAGCATTGTTTTAGGTGATTGCTCAATGGAGGCACTTCTTGTTCAGACATGCATTCTATATGAGTGATTTAAGAGAGTAATTAGGTTTGTTGTCATTTACAACTACTAAAAGGTGTTTACCATTGAGTTTGATTTTTTAAATCAATTATGATGAAAGAAACTATGTTTCTCAAGAGAAACTATTTTTTAATAGAACGGTTTTTTGAACAGTGATAAATAACAACAAAATTCTTATTTTTAATTAATTGAATTTCTGGCTGAACATACCATTGTTTGCCATTGTTGACAATCAAAATACAAACTATATATTCAATTTTATTTATGCTTATAGCACGAAATTATCTGTCAATTCTATTCAAATTAAACGACATTTAACAAAATAGAGTTGCCATTTTCAAAATAATTGAATACTGCAATAATAACAGGTCAGTTCAAACTCACCTACAGTTCTAAGGAAACTGACAAATTCAGCCAGGATCTTGTTTTGATATGAAAAGTAAAGACATACTTGCAGTACTAAAGCGTTAAATAGAATATATTTGCTTATATATCTTTTTCTCCTTGTTTATATCGTAGAAGACTGACATTCATTTCTTTAATAAATAATGTAGCATACTTTTAGGCTAGCGAAATAATTTTTTTTTTTAGTAGAACTGACATACGTGCACATCAACAGCTAAAATCATCATCATAATAATTCATAAAATACATACACTATTCACATATTTTATGTACTGAAAGTATAAAAATTCCGTGCATGTTTAATGCTAAAAACTAAATCTCATAATTTATTGTTTCGCATTTTAACAATATT